GAAAATGGTAGGTCACGGGCGTGTGATTTCAAATTTTAATAATGTTAGTAAATAAGAGAATTTCAACTGGAGACTAGTCCGTTAAGTATATGAACAAGGCAAAGATCGCTAGATTAGCAGGATTTATTGACGTCATATAATTTCGTGACCTCTTATTCAACTGCAAACGGTCGTCGCCTAGTAATAAGATAATTAACGGTCTAATTACGTGTGAACTTAGGAGGGTCAAACTTGATAGGTGAAGAGAGTAGAAGCTCTTAGTCTTTGATGTGGGCGCCTGGTGAGAGGGTAGAGGAAGGGGAGGTAGTTGTCACAGCAAATTCGCCGAATTCCTTCACCTTTCTTAAAAATGTTATACCTCATCTTTATCCCTTCATCTTTCTTTAAAATTTTATACCATGTATTGCTGGCAAACTAGGTTAAGGAAGTAAGTTTGTACAACAACAACAACGAGGAGGCGTGAGAGGGAATGAGTTTAACGATCGTTACCATGGCAATGCGAGGTTGATCACATGATCCATCCAGCTGCTTACCGAGCTCTGGTTTTTTCTCCGTATTGCAGCGGCCTCCGCAAATAGTAGGAGACGCCCGGTCGTCGCCCGAAGTACGACCTTAAATGCAGTGTTTTTGCTGACCATATGGTCAGTGTCTACTAGGCACTTCATGATTGAACTCGTAGATATTTTATTTTCCGCCCTGAGCAACTACTTCGGCATATGTTCGGCTGACCGAAAGGATATGACGTCAATAAATCTCGTGATGTTTGCCTTGTTCAAATTTCTTCCGGGAAAACAATCTTTCAACGTTAAATATATCTTAATTGGGCTAAGAACTGTGTCTTTTGCATCCACAGTACGGTCGATATTTCATGCAAAATACACAAATTTTCGAAGGATTCATAATCACTCAGAAACTGACATTAAGTAAGTATATGATACTGATTATCGTGCAGCCTAATCTCAAGTCAATTAAGCCACATCAGGATGACGGCTTTTTGATGAGCTTCTTGGTGACCGCCTGCAAAAAGTATATTCTGTTAGAAATGGCTACTGACTTTATAAATTCAAATATATTTTATAGAAAACGTTCACAAAACTATTCTTTTTTGAAGCAGGCGAAAACGGCAGAATCTATTTGTACAAATAAATTTCGAGATAACAAATTAGGCTTTCTTCAAATTTTGTTTAACGATCTTGTAGGCATTCTCAAACTGCGTGGCTGTCCATAGACTGCTCCTTAAGGGTTATTAACTTGCATCACCTTTTCTTCCGTTTCCTTATCTAATTACTTGTGCCCGACCCCTCGGGAGAAGGTTTTTCAGTTATGTGTTTGGGCTATTAAATCCAGGTCGAAACATTGTTTGTCTGTTCTCCTACGGAACATAATTATACTTCATTACAAACGAGTCCTTCGCCTCGATGTATTATTTACGGCTGCGCTGCTAATACTTAAGATCAAGACACGAGTCGCCCTGGCTCGTGACGTGCGTTGGCCCGACTGTGCTGAGTTTGAATGCCTCCTTACCTATTGCCATGCTTGTAAAACGTGATAGACGGAGGCCGATGCCACATAAATGACTGGTTGACAGAGGGAAGAATGACTGAGAGAAATCGATTCTGAGACATCCAATCTCCCGTAAACTTAGTGCACGTCTCATTATAGGCAATGTGTTCCTCTTGCACCTACCACAACGTGTCAAATGTTGCGACTTTATAGCACTGTCAATTGTGCAGGATCCAAGACACTCTTCTTCTTCTTCTTCTTCTTCTTCTTCTTCTTCTTCTTCTTCTTCTTCT